CAACAAAAATGAAACAAACACCAAGCATTACCCACATAGACACAACAAAAAGAAGATTAATAGGCAAGCATGTTTTATAATAATAAGGTTCAATTCGCACTCCTCTTCATGAATTCATTTAAATTTTTAGACTCCAAATTAGGGGTTGTAAAAAGAAATATATATATATTTTATGACACTACAATATGTTACATTTTACAAGTTCAGGAATGACTACACTTCTCAGGCATTTCCTTGTTAAATTTGTCTTTGCTCTCCTTCCTAATTAATTGGTATTTTCCAACTTTTAATGTAATTTATTTGGAATTCAAGTTCTCATATTGTATATAAGTTGATGATTGATGTAAAATAGTGCGGATGCAAACAAGTCGAGCAGCTCGTGCTTGCCTTGAGCTCGAGTTTGACCGAACTCAAGCTTATATTTTGTAAGTTTAGTTGATTACCCGAAAAACCACTCGAGTATATGTGACCCTTAACTCGAGTTAAATTTGACCTAAAATCGAGCAAAATCCTCTTTAAATTCGATCTGGCCTAGAGCATTTTTATAAGATTGCCGAGCAAAGTAATCTTAACGATCTCAAACATTATAATATTGTCGAGTTGAGTCCTAATGACCTCAAGTTTGAGCACCGGATAGAAATATAGAGCTCGCTTCTATAAGGGCATTGCTTGATTTTGCTCAATTCGTTTGTAGCCAACAGATAAATACATATATAAGTCACAAAAATAATATATCTATTACAAATATTTAAATTCGCATTGTTCACCAGGTTATAAATATTCAAATACACATTCTTTAGATATATAAGTCACCAAAAAATCATACAACGAGGCGTTAGAGCATCTCCAATGCTCCACTTTCAACATTAATTAAATTTGAACACATGTCAAATGATGAATGAAATGTAAATCCATGTAATATGAACGCCAAAAGAGAAGACTTTAATTTGGAATGCACATCTCCAAGTAATCCCTTTCAAAAGCTTAAAATAGGTTAGATTTTTTATGAGTGGGCTTCCAAACACGCTTTGGAAAACTAGAAAGTGGGCTTCACACTTTGGATATTTATTCTCTTCATGTCAGCATAAAAGAGTCCATAGCATTATGGATTGGAGAGTAATTTTTGTAATCACTTTATAACTTGATGATGTGGCTAACATTTTATTAAGTCAACATCTCACGTTGGAGATGCTCTTAGTGTAGATTTTCGTCTCCTGATTAGTGATTTAATCAATGTATATTTGCCTATGATTAATCAACTAATAGTCTTTCCTTAAAAAGTTCAGAAATTCTATTGGAACGTTGTTCAACAGACTGTTGATTAGGTTGAAGTGAGTTGTCTTCTTTCCTTGAAACTTCTTTTTCTGATCATTCTTTAATTGAGAAAAGTTTGTGTAAGAACAGACAATGCCTTAGCAATTCCTTCAGCATCGAGAGGCTCATCCTCAGAGTCATCTCGGCAGCTAAGGTCATATCTTAACATGGCAGCTAAAAAATGCCTTAGAAGCCCTGCTAGCATATGCCCCCTTTTGGTCCACAGATCGGTAAATATCCAAGACTGGTTCTGTTCTGCTTGGGATCTTTTCATAGAAGGAAGAAGTCTTGGCTAAGCCGTAGGCTAGTAATCCAAAGAGCAAGGAGCTAGAGTAGCAAACTGGCCTATTTAACTTCTATTCTAACCGGTTGAATATCTTTTCTAAAGAATTGGAGAAATATGCGACGAATGGGGTCTTCCTTCCCTAATTTACCAATTATTAGTATATAAGACAAGTCGAAGAGACAGACTGATACTAGGTATATTTCCAGTGGTTTTTAGGGAATGAGCACGTCTAGCCGAAAGGAATGTAGGATGCGGTCTCTTCTTCTTCTTCAGTCTGTGTAACACTGGCTTACAAAGCTAAGACTTTGTTCCTCACATTACCAAAGTCATAGTTAATTTCAAAAGTATGCAAGTTTTCAAGTAAGCCATCAATAAGCAGAAGGTGAATCCCCATGAAACTCTCTTGAGCTGTGGTTTTCTCACGAAACCTCTTAGGAAGAGTTCTCTGAAACCTCTTCACAAAGCATGACGTTGTGGTTCACGAGATCAGAGAAGCAAATATAGTAAATTTCTATAATTTCGTCTTCCCTCATTCTAATCTCATCGAGTTCCGTACTGATCCCTTGATGCTTGTCATATTTCACCATGTTGGTACCCTCAAATTGTCTTTCAAGAATTTTCCATGCATGACATGTCGTAGAACACTGAATGATCATCTTGTAGCGAGTTGGATCAACCCATGACATAGTAGCATAAAGAGCATGAAAATTGACTTCATCTCCGAGTTTTTCATTGTCAACCCACAGGTCTCTTTGCTTTTAAACCTTTACGTATGTGGCTCCTCAATAGATGAAGATTCCTTCTTCTCGGGAGGGGGCCGAGGAAGGAGGGGCGGGGGAAGGGAGGGGGAATGGCTTATCCATTATGGGCAATGTCCAACCAGTCTCAACTTCTACCCAAGTTTCTTTATCCAAGGACCCTAAGAAAATCATCATCATGGATTTTCAATACGAGTAATTGGATCCATCAAGATATGGGGGGCGCAAAATAGACATAGCGTCGTGGTTCATAGTGCTCGACCCAAAGGACTTGGATCTTTATCATGTGATCAGTACAGAAACACCACTCTGGTGCTAATTGAAACGTTATGGGTGAGTATGTATAGTATGCAAAACATGTTTACACACAAATTAAAAGCAGAAGCAACAAATAAACAAATTGTCTGCAGGGAGCGTCCCACAACTCCTCGGAGCTCTTTCATTAGTAAATCGATCGAGCGTACGATGTATAGTTTAGAATTACAAGAATATGACTCCCTCCTAAACCTACCCTACACTATACCCAAAACTACTAACTACTTTTTTTGCCACAACATGGACTTCAAAAACAGCTAAACCGATCCCTTCTAGATGATTAAGTACTTAATCACTAGGTACTCAAAGAGTTTATGAACAAATAACAAAAATAAATTTTCAGTGATATAAGAACACAAAATTGAATCGCTAGAAAACTAAACTAAGAAAAATGCAAATCAGAACTCACGAACTCTCAGAGATACTTTTGTACATGAAACACAATACTAAACTTAATTGCAGCAATGTTTTTTAGTCTTCATGCATTCATATATATACAAACTCTAAGATGGTAAGGAGCCTTCATATTATAAAGTCTTTGACGTCCTTTCATATGGAGTAGATTTCCTTCCAAATCGGTTCAACTTTTTCAAGTTCAGATTCTCCAAATCTCTATTCAATAATTGCGCAAGAACATTTTTTTCAATTTACTTTGATTTTTTAAATCTTGTCCAAGATCTTTGTATCTTCATATCTTGGTCCCGAACTACTTCTTTAAACACGATCTGCTCTTTCTCCCTATAAGTATATGATATGTCATTGACCTACAATAAATAGAAAACATATTATAGCAATAAATTTATCAAACAAAGTAAGAGCATATAATTAAAATCCTAGTGGATACTATCATAGTTTTTAAACCCGGCCCGGTAATCGACCCGGTGAGGTCCTCGGGTTACCGGGTCAATTGCTGAACTGGATAATTAATTTTAACATTTTTAAAATTATATATAGAGTATTTTTGTCATATAAATATACATAAAAGTACTAAAATTAAATGTTTTGTGTATAAAATTTGTACATTAAAGTGTTAATAATATGTATCTCATGATAAATATTTACCATATAAACATATATACATAGTTTTATTTTTAAAAAATAAAAAAATAAAAAAAAATAAAAAAAAATATATATGGACCGGGTCAACCGGGTCAAGTCCGGGTCGGCCGGGTTTTGACCGGGTCCTTGGTTGCCCGGTCCAAATACCCCACCCGGACCGGATCTGGCTCCGCCCGCCGGGCCGGTCCGGGTCACAAAACACTGGATACTATTATCCAATACTTAATATAATAAATAAATATATTACTTAATATATAAGGATCATAAGTAAATGCAAGAGAGATAAATAGATGCAATAGAAAGAAAGTGGAAATCTTCCTTTTTAATTTGTTTTGCTTGCTTAAAAAAAAAAAAAATCCATTAAAATATATCAAGTTGTGGAACAATTGCCAAAATAATATTTTACAAAACCAATTAACTCTAATCATCATATGAACGGTTATTTTTTATTTAGTACAAAATCTAAATATTTATATATGGTAAATAGAATGTAAAATATATATGGTCAACCAAAATTGGTGGAATGCAAAAATATAAATCCCGCTAAAGGCTCTTGACCGCATTTTCATTATAAAAACTTTATTTCATTTATCTCCATCACTAGTGCATTTATCACACAAACAAAACATTTTTTTTTTTTTTGCTTGTTTTCTTTGTCGATATTTTTTATAAGAAACAGGAAAACAAGTTTTAAACTTCACCGCTGCAAATGTGAGAAATAGAATTCTTATTTGTTTAAGGAATTTGCAGCGTAAGCTTAGTTTCTTATATTGAAGCTGCAAACTAACCAACGGTAATTTTCATCTTTTTCTTCTTATACTTAACGTTTAAAATTTGATCAAGTATGAATCAACATTATTTTGGATCTTAGTTAGAAAAATTCACAAGCATTTTGTGTTCTTGATTGACCTTTTGTATTTATTGTCTCGTCTAGCAGATTCCCGTACTTTTTTTTTATTCAATAATATTGGAAACAAATTGGCAAGTTCCATTCATGCATAAATAGAGTATTTTTAGTTATGGCATGTTGCATTTCGGTTCATATATTTTACTCATTCATTCTCTTACCAATACTAGTTAATCACGAGTTTGCTTGAGGGTTCATTCAATTGAAATAAGAATATGTATGTGGAAAGTAAAAAATTTAATTATGTTAATCATATGAAAAAGTTATACACGAAGGTGGGATTTTAGAATAACATATCATAGATAGTTTAGGGAAAAATGCACGTAATAGGCTCCAACTAATATGTTACAAACATTATATGTCAACTTGCAAACTCCTAAAAAATAAAAATAAAAACATGCATACTCCTAGACGAGCCTCCAACAGAGACTCCCCAACTTATGTTCAGGGTCGTCCTGGTCCAGGATGCTCTGGCAATGGCCCAATAAAAAAAGAAGGGGCACCAACTGAGTGACCTATATATGAATATACATATACGTAGGAAGCCCAACACGGATTTGAGAAGCATTTATAGTGTTATTCATATTATGGCCCATGGCCCACCACAATGAAAAATCTCCCAACATTAAATCTTATTTATTTATTTATTTCCAAACGAAACAGAATAACATTAAACCTCAAATATTTACAAACGGGTAATCAATTAACTACGAGTTCACGGGAACAACACACACTGTTTTTCCTCCAAAGCCAACATGGCTAAACTATCACTACGAAGACAAATAGAGCCTAGTCCAAAATCACAAACCAACAGTTTAGATTTAATAAAATACACGTCCGAGGCCACATTACAAATAGAAGATGGAAAAACATATTCATCATTTAGTTTGTGCACAAAATCCTCAGAGTTCAGTAAGCAGACTATCTTAGTCCAACCTTGTGCCTTTGCCACTTCAAGTTGTTACCTGACTACCAATAATAATGCTTCCTCTTCAGTTCCTGCCCAATCAAATACTGTGTTACCTACAAACACCTCCTCATTGTTCACCCTTGCCACTCCACCATGCCTACCTTGCCAGAAGAAGAAGTTAAGGCACTGACAGTGAACATCACTAGTCCTACCTCTTTGAAAAATTCCCCTTCTTTTAGCTTAGTAGTTCTTGCCTTTGATTTCCAACTGTAACTCTGAACACCAGTGTAACCCAAGCTCTCCATTCAATCTCCCCTTGCTCCTGTGACCACCTCCTGTTCTTCAAACAACTCCCCTCTAAACGCCTACTTATTTCTGGTAAGGTGATTAATTCTTTCATTTGTTTAGCTTTTGTGCTTGTATTAACTTCCCACACCAGTCTTGAAGTCTTAAATTTGGCCTTCTGAAAGCTTCCCATTCAATCTCCAATAACTTCCAACACCTCTGCACCTTGATACAAGAAATGAATAGATGCTCCACATCTTCCTCTAGCTCTCACAAATTGTCAACCTCGATACATCTCTTGCCCAATTGGTTGTTTGTACTTAAGAAGCCATAATACACCCTCCACATGAAGTTCCTCAGCTTGGGTTACAATAATAATTTCCATGTCTGATTCCACATTCTCTTCTGGTGAAAGTTGCCTCCACTTGTGCTTGCTCTCATCCATGTCCCTGCATTAATACACTTCAAGCTTTTATAGGCAGACTTGACTGAAAATAACCCTTTTGTGTGGTATATTTAATTTAGACTTTTGAAGATTTTTTAAGACTTTTAAAAGTCTTGGAATATTCATTTGGGATTTGAAAAAGTTTTACAAAATCTTGAGGTATTTAGGTGGGTGTTTCGTTTAGGATTTCAAGTGATATTTTGAGACTTTTTGAGATTCGAGTGGGATTCCGTATAAGGTTTATTTTTCTTTAGAAATCACAACAAATCTTAAAAGGTCTTAATAAATACTAGTCCCAAATAAGTTAAATACCTCAGAATTTTGTAAGACTTCCTCAAATCCCAAACGAATACCACAAGACTTTTAAAAGTTTTAAAAATTATACATCGGGATTTTTCTAAACCTTAAAAAGTCTTTAGAAATCCCAAATGAATACACTTATTTGAGACTAAAATTCCAAACAAATACCACAAGACTTTTTAAAAGTTTTAAAAATTATACATTAGGATTCCTAAATCTTTAAAAGTCTTTAGAAATCCCAGATAAATACACTTCTTTGAGATTATGATTTGTTAAGACTTCTTAAGATTGGTTGCGATTTCTAAAGAAAATTTTTTTATACCAAATCCCACTCAACATCCTACCTCCCGACTTAAAATTTCACAAGCCTTTAAAATCTACTTGTGCTTGCTCTCATCCCTGTCCCTGCATTAATACACTTCAAGCTTTTATAGGCAGACTTGACTGAAAATAACCCTTTTATGTGGTGTATTTAATTTAGACTTTTGAAGATTTTTCAAGACTTTTAAAATTCTTGGAGTATTCATTTGGGATTTTAAAAAGTTTTACAAAATCTTGAGGTATTTAGGTGGGTGTTTCGTTTAGAATTTCAAGTGATATTTTGAGACTTTTTGAGATTTGAGTGGGATTTCGTATAAGGTTTTTTTTTCTTTAGAAATCACAACAAATCTTAAAAGGTCTTAGTAAATACTAGTCCTAAATAAATTAAATACCTCAGAATTTTGTAAGACTTCCCCAAATCCCAAACGAATACCACAAGACTTTTAAAAGTTTTAAAAATTATAAATCGGGATTTTTCTAAACCTTAAAAAGTCTTTAGAAATCCCAAATGAATACACTTATTTGAGATTAAAATTCCAAACAAATACCACAAGACTTTTAAAAGTTTTAAAAATTATACATTGGGATTTCTAAATCTTTAAAAGTCTTTAAAAATCCCAGATGAATACACTTATTTAAGATTATGATTTGTTAAGACTTCTTAAGATTGATTGCGATTTTTAAAGAAAAAAATCTTATACCAAATCCCACTCAACATCTTACCCCCCGACTTAAAATTTCACAAGCCTTTAAAATCTACTCAAAATCGTACGTCAAGACTCTAAAATATTAAAAAGTCTCAAAATGTTACTCAAAATCCGAAACGAATATATCCCCAAATCCTTCTCCTCACAAATCTCTTGATCCTCTCTTATTGTCATTTCAAATTTAAACAATCGAACTGAATGTTTATTGATTTTCAATTCTTTGCTCATTAAAAAAAAAATGTGTTTTTAGGTTGTGTTTGGTAAGTGTATAAACTAACTTATAACTTATTTAATTAGTTGATAGGATAAACTAGTTTTATAAATAGTGAATTTATATGAGTTATGGCTAAAAGCTTGCCATGTGGTGGTATCCCATGTACGGCCCGAATGGCCAAGGTCCTCTTGGCGGCGGCGGTCCACCGGAGGATGGCAGTGGTGGTGTCGGGTAATTACTTATATGTCAGAATACTAAAATTGAAAAGTAATGTAAACAAATTTTATGCGCACAAAAGGCCGAGACAAAATAATCCGGATTTGGTTCGAACCCAATTGCATACGATCTGTTTACTCTCCTCCGGCAACCATCACCGATGAGTTCATCAATGCCGGCGATAGGGTTCATATCCACCTATGTCCATACAATTCCTCAAATTAAGCATCAAATATGTGGAAAATCCATTTCAGAATCGCAGGTTTTGGAATTCCATGAAACTGAACTATCCAATAGCAGGTTTATATCTTGTATTCTCATTTCATTTTCTCGGACCTCAGAGGATCAGGCATGGATCATATATAGCTATTATAAGTTTAGATTGAATTGCAGTTCCAAGTTATCCTGTTTGCCCATCTCGAATTTGTAAGAGGATTATGATGATATATACAAGTCGAAAATTGGATTAGAAAATGGTTCTGCTGTTGGTCTCTGGCTGAAGTATTCAGTCTTTTTTTGTGTTTTTTAATGTATTTGAGCAGAAGTTTCTGTTTATCTGTATGATTATTGTCTACATCTGTTATCTTCTTCATCTGGCCAGTTAGTGTTGTTTTGAACTAATTGGTGTTGATTATCTCTAGGAAATATGTAGCTCTGGTTTTATTTGTGCCATTTCTTCTTGTACTTGTTCAGGCATGACGAAAATGCGTGCACCCAAGAAATGGATCAAAGCCATCCTTCGCATAAAGAAATCCGGAAACTCTCGATCTTTAGAGGAGGAGGAAAATGTGGGTGATATTTTGTTTGCATTTTCCATTATACTTCCCCTTCCTTAAACATAAAATGGAAAATAAAGGAATGATTTCCTTTTTACTAAATTTTGTAAAATAGGCATAATTTCTGTATCGAGTACAGCCTAATTAGATTGAATGGGTATGAAAATTGTACACTTTGCAAATTATTGTCAAACAGATTTCAGCAAGCACAGAGAAGGCTTGGCACCAAGAGAAGCATGCTCTTAAAACTGATGACGATATTCTTGAAGATGAGTCGAACGCGAAAGTGGTCAGAGAAATTGAAAGTGTAATAGATTCAAATTTCCTGTCGGCTTTGGATTCAGCTAGAATCTCACATGAAAGGAAGCACTCAGTTGAGATTGATGATAACTGTACACTTGAATATTTGGAAAATGAGTTGAATCACCACTTGATCGTTGAAGCTGAATATGTGAAGAAGGCAAATTTCGAGTTGGTATCAAATTCACCTCGAATCTCGCACCAGAGGAAACATTCCCTTGAGTTCAATAATGATATGTTTGGAAATGTGTTGAATCAAAATGTAGTTATGGAAGTCGAATATGCCAAATATGCGAAATTCCAGTCGATTTTGGATTCTACCAGCTCGCTTTCGACGCCAATTGAGGTGCGAAATGCAGATCAACTTGAAGTGAGTATGAGGGAGGAATGGGAGTCTCAGTTTCAGCAGAAAATGAGGCAAGAGTGGGCTGCTGAGATTGATCTGAATATGAGAGAAGAATGGGCAGCAATATGCATTCAGTCAGCTTTTCGAGGATTTCTGGTATGCTAACTGGTTCATTTATTTGGATTATTTAATTTGACTAGCATTGTAATAATTCTAGAAAGGGCTAAAATCATACAATCAACTAGCATTATAATAATCCTGGTACTAAAATCATACACTTATTTATGTATTTTGTTTTGTATATCAGGCTAAACGATCCTTACGTGCTTTAAAAGGATTGGTGAGACTTCAAGCTCTCGTCAGGGGTTATTCAGTAAGAAAGCAAGCTGCCACAACTCTTCGTTGCATGCAAGCTTTAGTGAAATTCCAGTCTCGATTCAGAGCAAGGCGTGTTCGTGTTGCTTTAGAGAATCAAAGAGCACAACAGAAACTTCAAGGGCAACTTGAACAAGAAGCTCGTGTCAAGAAAATCGAAGTACGCTCTGTCTTATCAATACATTCTTTCTTTGAAAAGAAAACAGCATCACTAGAGCACTAGATTGGTAGAACATAATTTTTATAGATTTGATAAGGAGAATTATCCACAAAGCTAAAACACTTCCTCATATGTCATTTACTTGTCGGCTGCTTCTACTCAGGAGGGATGGTGTCAGATTGTGGGATCCGCAGAAGAAGTTCAAGCCAAGTTGTCGAAAAGGAAAGAAGCTGCCGCTAATCGGGAAAAAGCAAAGGCCTATGCTTTAGCTCGCCAGGTAAATAAATAACCCTTTCTCCTCACTATACCTATTTCCACTTTTTGTTTAAACAAATAAATAAAAAAAATTCTACAGTGGCAAGCGAGGAACCGGCACCAAGTGATAACACCTTCCGTAATCTCCAAACCAGAGAAAACTAATTTGCATGTCGGTTTCGAGCCAGACAAAAGCTACTGGGGATGGAATTGGCTTGAGAGGTGGATGGTTGTTCGTCCTTGGGAGAATCCACTTTTAGACATCAACGTCATAGATGGCGTGAAGAGAAGGCCCGGATTTGGAAATGACTCGAAAGCCTCATTTGTACATGAAACTGAGGGTAAAATGGTCCCTAAGGAGAGATTGGCACTTGCAGATAAACAGAGAAAGAAGCGGCTGTCTCTGCCTACTGGAGGTTGGTTGGTCTCTCTAGACAAGTTTAATATATGGGAGAATTATAAATATTGGGTGTGGTCTAATTACAAATGAACCAGAGATATATCGAAATTGCAAATTATCCTGCTTTGCATATGTTTTCGTTTTACAAAGTGCACCGATCCAGGGGAGCGAGTGGTCCTATTGGGGGGTAATTATATAACAATACTAAACTTCAAGGAGGCACTTGTAAATGTTAAATAACTAGTTTCTTGTAATTACACTACATTTATGATGTGTATGAGCTAATCCGTTTATCTTGAAATCTTTTTTCTCCTAACAGTTGTAAATGGACGCGATTTTTAGATTTTATGCTCATCAATTTCATCTACATTTAAATAAAAAAAAAAAAATCATTTACTACCTCAAAATTCCTTAAGAATCTTCTATTTGCTTACTCACATACCTCTACCGTCCATTTGAATTTGTATATTTCTGATAGAATTCAAATCCTGTTCACTCGGTACTACTGTGACGTTTTAAAATTTTACAAATTAGAGCCACATTTACTAGTCATATATTATCTTTCTCTTTTTTGACCAGGGATTGTTCATGGGGCTCAACTAACTGCTGGGCCTCAAGTCAGTCGACCCGTTGTGAAAAGTAGTTCCATTGGTCCAAAGCCCGGAATGGCCAAGAACAGTTTTAGTGGAAATGTTATCAAACCTTCAAAGCTCGGTTTCAACGTCGCTTATTAGCTCCTATTTTTTTCAGCATAAACTGCACAAGATACTGCTTACATTCTACATCAGCCAACTTTAGTTTGTACATAGAAATCCTTTCATGATGGCTGGATTAAGAGACAAGACTGCCCTTGGGGACATGAGGATGAAACCGGGTATAAAGTTAAATGTTTTTCTGGAATTAAATTTGTTATTTTTTTCATCAGTATTATGTTCATGTTTTCTTACTTATCCATTAATTGCACCTACTTATGCTGCTAGACTGGATTTAGTCCTAGCAGTGTGTGTATTAAGTGACATCTGTTAATTTAAGATATACAGTCGCCTACTTNTTCACCTCCCATTTTTTGAGATCAAACTTTAAGTACTCGACTGAGATTTTTTCTAATGAGAGTAGTATTGATGTAAAAGATAATTTTTAAATATGAAAACAATGCAAAAGTTATTTATTTATTCATCCTTTTCTTTCCCTTCTTCCTGGGATTCCCATTCGAGGTATTTCCTATTGGTAGGTGAATCTGCTCTGGGTTTTACACGTGCTCATGAGTACTCAATTTTCTTCTCGTGTGAAAATCACATGATTGAACCAGAATCAAATCACGTAAACATTGGCATGTGATCCTGTTTAGTTGGGTCAAAATGGGTTTGGTATAAATTCTAAGGACCAACATGAACTATTATGAATTATTATAGCTTTGTTGCAATGTTTTGATTTTATTGTGTAACTAGTACTATACCCCCGTCTATTACACGAGTACTTAAATATATTTATACAATAAAAATTAAATCAATTTATAATTTTTATTGTGTAATTATGTATGGCGAATATGCAAAAATAATAAATAACTAATAAAGTGATAATTAATCCAAATGATGCCCTTATTTTTACATTAAATTTGTCAAAAAAGATGTTTTTTAATTTATATTTTTAAAATTATATATGTATAAAACTAATATTTATTACAACTCCATATATTTGATTCGTTTTTTTTTTCTAAAACAAAACAAGTTTTATTGTATTATGATTATATTTTATATTTATAGAGTCAATCAGTGTCTCACGTTTATTAATTTTTCAAGTATTTTAATTTCATATAATTGATAATTTAGAATTTACATAGAAATGTATTATTTCTAAAATTATGAAATACAAAATTATTTTATTACATTTAATTATGATATTCTTTTATATTTACTATTTTAAATAACATCATAACATTCAATTTTTTTTTATAATCTACTTAAATTGAGAAATAATATTTTATAATATTTCTCAAAATTTATTTTATTTAATACTTAATTTTCATTTATATCCAAAATTTATGAAAAAAAAAATTATTATTTTACAGTGTATTAATGAATTAGATTTTTATTATTTCTATAAAATGATTTATATTGTTATTTGATGTTTTTTAAATTGAGTTGATAACATAATTAATTTTATTTATAAATATAGATGAAATTATTTTTTATTTTATATATGTAATATGAATGTCAAATCAAAGATCGTTAAAATATGATTATACTAGTAGATCATATATAAAAAATAAAATACAAATAAAAAGGTTTTAAAGTTTTAAAAATGAAAATGATACATATTTATAATAATTAATATATGAATTAAATAAATAAGGGAAGAGCAATATATGGCAATTTAAATAAATAAAAAAAAAAGATAAAATAATTTATGATAATTTCCAAGCTTAATGGTCAAAACCAAACCTAAACATGTGTCAATACGAAGCACAGTTTTTTGCTAAATAAGCTTACGAAGCACACAAGGCTGCCACTTAGGCTCAACGCATTCGAGAAATATATATATAGGGGCGACACGAGTATTTAAAATATTAATACCTGTACATAAAAAAAAAGTAAATTAATTTATATTTTTAGTGTTAAATTATAAAAAGTAAATGCACAAGAAATAATAAAGAATTAACAAAATGATAATATTTAATACAAAACTTGTGTTTTTCACTCAATTTTTAAAAAATGATAGTATTTAATTACATTTATAAAATTATGTATGTTTAAAACAAATATTATCTAGAATAACACTAATTTATTTTTGAGTTTTTTATTTTTCTTTAGAGTCTTATTGCATTGTAATCATATATTCTATTTGTAGAGTTGATTTCTCTCATATATTAATTTTTTAAGTAGTGTAAATATGTCATTGATGATTTTAAATGTAAATTAATATAAACAAATGTAATATTACCTAACTTTATGAAATATAATTATTTTATGAATTTTAGTTATGATATTCATTTATATTTTTTATTCTCAACATCATAATAACATTCAAACTCTATGCACTATTTAAGTCAAGATGTATATTTTTTCATTTTATATTTTTTAATATTCATTTTTGTACCGGCCTAAGTGGTAGACTCGCATGTTTCGGGACCTTACTTGGCAAATTTCATAGTTTATCATTTGGCTTGGTTAGATTTCAATTTACTTTAAATTCAACACCTTTTTTTCGTATATAAATACCGATCCTCAAGTCCAGAAGAAGAACAAAAAAAATAAGCAAGAAAAGCCCTAGCCAGCCTGAATGATCTTAAGCCAACACAGACTAAAGCAAAATCCCTCAAAGATCATTACTATCATCCTTATATTTTACCATATTTACTCATCTCCCGAAGATCATATATCCCAAAAATTCGGCCGTATCTATCATATACAATAAATAATAAAATTTTGGAGAAACCCTCTACTTGCCGATCGTCACAACCGATGAACAAAATTGGTGTCTTGCTTTATTTTTACGCTTGTTGACATATCCGATCTTCTTGTAATCCACCTCATTAAAGTAAACAATAATTATATCATAACCCCTAATTAAACCACCTTAAACACGATTTTCGTAACTGTTGGCGACCCACCGTCAACAATATTCATTATATATTAACTCTGCATATTTTTTCTTAAGACTATAGAAAACAAAACATATAATTATTTTATGGTATATTCATGTAAATAATTTTTATTTTATAAGATAATATAGTTTCATTTGTATTTTTTAATTTAGTTTGATAATAAAATTTAAATTCTATTTATGAAGATAGATGAAATTAATTTGAATTTGTATATGTGATATGGATGTCAAATTGAATATCGTAAAAAAAATTATTAATTTTTAAAATATCATAAAAAATAATGGTATTGCATAAGTAAAATAAAAAAGAATAAATAATACATGGTAAAATGGACAAAATAAAAACATACTTATTAAAATTAAAAATAAAATATTTATGACAAATAACAAATCTAATTTCAAAGAAATAATATTTATAGAAATCAAAATATGAATCACAATTTTTAATCATGTAACATAAAATATAAATATGTACTTAGAAAAATTGCAATAACATGAGCTTGCCACTTGTTATCAAAACGTTTAAAATTAATACACGGGATGTTGTGCACGCACTACTAAACTAATGTGATTTGTGACGACTCCACTTCATTGGTCAGTCGACGATGGGACGTAATAAATAAAGACAAACCAAAATTACTGGCAATTTGTTTTTTTTTTTTTTTATTTATTGTAAGCCNAAAAGAAATAATATTAACGGCGTTAACTCACGTTATCCGCTGCCGTCATCCTTTACCCTGGCCACTCTTTATCACTCTCTCTTCCTCATTAGATTTCTGTCTCAAAACTTCCAAAATCAGTCCTAAAAATCTCCCAAAATTTCTCAAAATCACCGCAAACCACCGCCTCCAAATCCACCGTGCCACCGCCGCAATGGAGCCCCATTCGCCTCCTCACCCCTGAAAATAACCCTATTGTACTCGGAAAAAGCCTTCCCACAAACACCGATAACAGTGTATATCTAGAGAGAGAGAGAGAGAGAGAGATACCCACCGACAGCCATGGCCGCGATCTCGACTTCCCCGCTGATCCCAACCCTTATCCTCCTCCTCTCCCTGCCGATCCTCTTCTTCCTCGTCGGCCCCCGCATACTTCCCTCCCGCCAGATCTCCATCTCCGCCCCCGACGAGCTCGACGACCTCTCCCTCTTCCACAAGGCCATCGCCATGGACTCCGCCAATTTCTCCCGCCGCAGCCGCCTCCCCTCCGCCCGCTCCCACCTCTCCGCCGGCCTCCGCCGCCCCAAGGTCGCCTTCCTCTTCCTCACCAACTCCCCCCTCCACTTCGCCCCTCTCTGGGAGCGCTTCTTCTCCAACGTCACCACCAAGCACTACAACATCTACATCCACGCAGATCCCTACGTGAAAATCCCCCCCTTCGAAGGCGTTTTCAAGGGCAAAACCATCCCCGCCAAGAGGACTCAGAGATCCTCGCCGACGCTCATCTCCGCCGCCCGCCGCCTCCTGGCCACCGCCATGCTGGACGACCCCTCTAATGCCTACTTTGCCCTGATCTCCCAGCACTGTATCCCACTCCACTCCTTCGATTACCTCTACAATTTTTTATTCGATCTGGGCCGGTTGTCGAAAAATCTGGAGTTCTCCAGCTACATTGAGATTCTGGATAATGAGTCGACACTGTGGGATAGGTACAATGCCCGGGGGAAAGATGTGATGCTGCCTGAGGTTAATTTTGAAGAGTTTCGAGTAGGTTCCCAGTTTTTCGTGCTCACAAGAAAGCACGCGCTAATGGTGATCAAGGATAGGAAGCTGTGGAGGAAATTCAAGCTGCCCTGTTTGAATGTGGAGTCTTGTTATCCCGAGGAGCATTATTTCCCTACGATGCTGTCAATGCAGGACCCGAATGGCTGTAGCCATTATACGTTAACTAGAGTTAATTGGACGGATAGTGTGAATGGGCACCCACACACTTACCATCCTCCTGAAGTTTCCCCCGAGCTGATTTACAAGCTGAGGGAGTCGAATTCAAGTTATTCCTATATGTTTGCGAGGAAATTTTCTCCTGATTGCTTGGCCCCTTTAATGGGGATGGCTGATGAGGTTATCTTCAAGGACTGATGTTCTTTTTCCTTTGGTGAGTTAAGATGCCTAATTTTTTGTCCTTACTGTATGTTATTATTAGTATTATCATTTTCGTCAGTACTTATCTTTCTGGCTTGCTCTTGATAATTCTTATTGAAACTCATGTTTGTGGCTCTTTTTTGAGATTTTTATTTCTTTGTGGTGAATGGAGATAATTTCCCTTTACTGAAATAGTGTGATCACATCTGGTGGGCTGCAGGATGTGAATATATGTTTTTCTAGCTGCATTTTTTAGTAACTTGGGAGACCTTAAGAGTGAAATGATTGATTATCTTTCTCCAAAGGATTGTTCCACATCTTTTTGTCCATCACTTTATGGGGATTGCTCTCACTTAGGCCTTCTTACAGAATGATTTGCTGATATCTTGGAGAATGTGTTCGGTTCCTTATCTTGAATTGATGTGCTCCTTAGATAGCTTGTCAATGTATTAGTGTGCACATATTCTAATGTTACATAGGAAAATTCAGAATCGTAGTCTTTTGCTAATGTCGTGCCTTTAAAATCATGAATTTTGTACCATTCACTATCCCTTCAATGACATGTGATGCGAACTCATTGAAATAATTTGCAATGCATTTTTCTTATGAATACAAAGTTGAATATAGAATATGGAACCAGAAAATTGGAGAAATATAATACTATATGGTCTAACTAGATCATGTTTCTTTTTACTTTGTTGCAGAAGTAAGAGTCAAGGCAAGTTTGAGGCTTTTGGAATGGGAAAGCATATTGGAGTTGCCCCCTCGATTAGGTTTGTTCAAGTGGCTATATACCCTAAAGCCTATGTAATTTGAATGGGGGGATGCCCGACTCACGTAATTGATGGGCTATTTAAAATATTTTCAAGATCTGCAAATCGTGTTTGTTGAGGTGTAGTTTGTTAGTGTAGCCACTTCTTGTGGTGGTTGATTAGGGCTTTTTAATTTACACGATCCATAAACCATAAGGTTGTTGGGATTGTGATTTTGGGGTCTCTTGGCCCTTGCTGTTTTTGCTGTAAATATGTATGTGAAAGAAAACAAAAGGAACAGTTCTTAGCTTNGGAACAACTCTTGGCTTAAGCTAATTCAGATTTGGCAAATCCTATGTTTCCACCTTATATTTCATCCAATTTACATTCATAATAATGACATCAATATATATGCATAGCATTTTCATGGGTGTACTTGAATAGAAGATGGAATAGGATTGTGCAATCCCTATTGCCCTTTGAGTGATGTGAATAATGTTGTTATTATGTACCTTTTGTCTAACCTAATGCTAGTATTGTGGATTAAGGGTGACTTTATAAAAGTTGAAGAGAAGGATTGGTGTTCCTTTTTGACCCTTTGTGTGTTTGTTACATGACCCTTTTTGAACTTTTGGCATCATTTACCTTGGCATTGGGTTATGCCAAGATTCCCACTTTCTGATTGAATTATTATTATCTTAGTAAAGCACGTAAGAGTGCAAATTAGGAACTGTGTCTATGTGGAATATAAAGAAAAAGAATTTAAAACCCAAGATATTGCTTCTTGAACTTGAAAAAAATTCTTATCTCTTGAAAATATTATGCTGGTAGCTTAAATTTTCCATCTAATGTGCTCTTGTCCCCAACATCAATTCTTTGTTTCCATGAAATTATTTTGACAAATTAACGGTGTGGTTCTTGCAAGAACAAATGTCCTGAATTTCAAATTCATATTTAAAAAAGAAAGTAGATGTAAAACAATATCTGACAGAGGTAAGCAATTGAGAAGATGGTAAAAGCAAGAAAGAAAGGAAAATGGGAAGATAAAGTGAGATCAAAATTGGAAAAGAATCAATGGAGACTATAGTTTGTGGTAGGTAGACGGGACTCTGAAAATGCTTTTACTTATTTGGTGCTGTTAATATGATTATGAAAACCTCCTCAAATTATTTTACCATCACTGGTTACTATAATTCTCATCATTTCATTTATTTTATTCATGCTCAGATATGATATAATTTTCCATTTAATTGGATATGAACATTTTTAAGTTGCCTTCTTTTCCAATTCCAACACGATATGTTCTGTCCATATATTTTGCTCTTCAATCGGAGGTCACAAGAAGTGATAGAATGCATACAAAAGCTATCCATATCATTAAACATATACATACAAAAACCATCGCTTTCATATTCGACGACGTTCATCATAATTCTTCATTATCCATTGCTGCGTATTCTTTTTAGACATTTTCTTTAAAACAATATTTTAAGCATATGCAGACAAACATGTCCACACAGTGTCCCAATTTATTATTCAATTCAAACCACAAAAGTGTAATCAAAATGTCTTTGTTCTATCTACGTCTACACCTACTTTCATTATTCATCACATTAATCAAGATATTGTTCACAAACTTGTCCAACAACATCAATCGTGGACATCATAAATTAATGGTAGCATAAATTAATATATACAATTGGATTTGTGTTTTTGGAAGTAATTAATCCCTAATGGACGGTAAGAATATTCCCAATACAATATATTTTGTTTTGGCAATTTCATACATGGATGGTATTTGTTACCTAACTAGTTTCATTTTAATTTCTTTAAATCGCGAATAATTGTATTTATTTTAAGCATAAATGATTTAAGAGGGACAATGGTGATGGTGAGAGTGATTCAGAAATACCAACACTCACTTAGTTAGGTAGTTGAGCAATCACTTTGGCATTTGATGGGCCGTACACCAAATCGTGATAGTCCTAACCCCTCCATAAAAAGGACTTCTTGGATTAGTTACAATATCACGTAGTATTGTATATTTGAGGAGAGATAATTAAAATCTAATTAATATAATTTCTGAAAGTGCTGATTCTAAATGGCAGGCTCGCACGCTTTGTGATTATATGTGACAAATTTTTAAGATTTGTTATTTGGTTTGAATGCATTCTAATTTGTTTTCAATTTAAGAATAATTAGGCTTGCAATATCCATAAATATAATATCATTTCTTATTGTAGATGTGGTTTATAAGGTATAATCTTTTTTCCAATCTTCCTTTTTTCCTCATATTTCTTTAATATTAAAACAAATTTACTAACTTAAATTATTAATATATTTAAAAATTAATCAATTTATTATTTCTTAACAATATTTTATATATAATATATTAAAATTTATTATATCTTTATGAGTTTCGATTTGACATATTATTATACATACAAAATAAATAAATAATTTATTTATCTTTATAATTAAAATTAAATTATCTATTAATATTAATTCAAAAATATAAAATTATTTAAACTAACTTATCCACCAAGTAGTTATTTAATATAAATTAAAAACAATTATAATATAAGATGATAAGTCCTGTAAGTGACGGTGTCATTTTAACTTAAAATAATAATATATTTTTCCAAAAAAACTATTTAAAAAACTAAATAATTTTTATTGTTATTATTATTTAATTTTAAATATAATTTTCTTAACGAGTATTCTACTAGTTATTTATTATAACCATTCTTAAAGAATATGTTGATTTTTAACAAACTTCACAAAGCGAATTATTGTACTTACCAAAGTCCAACCATCCTTAAATTACTCAATATGTTAGAAGTGTTTTTGTCACTACTTTATTTGGAGACGATTTGTAGCCAACTTGTCAATACATGGCGTGTGTGAAAGCCTAAAGATAAAATATTTCACTTTGATTTCTTTCTTTTGATTTCAGCCGTAAACTCGTGTTGGAGCTGCTCGGATCTAGAAGACGTGTCCCCTGACGATTTTGCAGCAAACGGCCACTTAACAGAGAGAATCTCTGTTAAGTCATATAGGGCATAATATTTGCAGATGACGGCCACTTAACAGAAGGATGGGAGCTATTAAGTCACAGGGCCAAATATTTCCACTATCTAATTAGGCATTCTCGATTGGTTCATTAGTCTCTATACAATAGTAGCTAGGATTTTAATATACCTGGGGCTAATGAAACTATGATCTTCAATTATTTTTATATATTCAAATTCGACGATTATAGTATCATTACTAATCTTTTCGACTTACTCTTTTTCAATGTAAATAATCATTGGATCCGCCAAAAAATCTTCTTCCATCTTATTACGAAAAACTGTCATGACAAGATTCATAGCTGAAAATGGTGGCTCTGTAGTTGCCGTAGACACATGAGGAGTCAAAACAAGACGAATTAACCTGTCGAATAAATTAAATAAATTAGATCAAATAAATATACTAGAATTTAAAGCATTGAGTACATGATCAACAAGCATTAACACATATAATTAAACTAAAAACATGTTCTCATCTCAACTTCAACATAAATCTTTTAAATTTGTGACACAACAAATATAGCCACATCCATATGCCCACAAACCACAAATTGGGAGGAAAAAAATTAGTTTCAACTTTCAATTCACATATAGCAATACAAACAAACCACAAATTGGGAGAAAAACAATTAAGGTTTCAACTTTCAATTCACTATTACAATACACACAGAGACAAACCAAAATTACCAAAACTAAATCAACCTATAACAAATTACAGAACAAAGATACAAACATAAAAATTTGAAAAAACCAGTCACCACATTTCAATTCACAAATTTCACATCTCACACCACATTTCAAATCATACTCTCAATAAACCAAACATAAATTCAGTACGGCTATTCATACTCTCAATAAACCAAAAATAAATCCAGGTTCAATCGTGTTACCTCGGGGCTCGGAGTCACTGTTGGTCCCGCTCACTTGTTGGCGCCGACCGGACCGCTCGATCCTTGAAGCTCGAAGGTCTCGATTCCTCCGTTCTTCGCAATCTCCGCACTCGCACACCGATCTCGCAATTGCCGACGCCAGATGGAAGATGTCTCGTTTCGTAGAGGCTTGAAAGAACAAGGGTGAGAGTAGAGGGCTTTGGAACTTACATATTACAGATTAATAGAGCCCGTCGTTTTTTTTATGAGAGAAGAAAAGAGAGTTGTACGTCTTCTAACAAGCCCAACACTGGATTTTAAATTTTTTTGGGCTTTGTTGTCTTGTTGGGCTAACTCAAAGGCTAACAAGAAATTTACCTTGGACTATTTACTAATAATAATCTAATATGTAAATTAATTTTATTTTTTTTTTACTTGGGGCTGGAGCCCACCCTAGCCCATGGGTGGCTCCGCTCCTGATTGAGCATTAGCTGGGTTGAGTTTTTCAATATTGCAGTTGAATCTTGACAATCACCGCGCTTAAACAATTAAATATACCAGCTGATGCTACTAAAATTTTCTTCAATAAAATCAAGACAATATGTAACCATATAGAAAATTGTTAAATGAAACTGAACGGTTGCGAGTTCAAGTTTGACTCTGCTCGAACTTGGATCGTTAGGATAATATTTTTTTTTTTTTCCTAAAGTCCTATTTTATTAAGGGTTTTTTCCCAATAAATCCTCAAATCTCTTTTCAATTTCTGTATTATTCCGCAATTTGTTATTTTTCCATTGCACTCACAAATTGTGCTATTTTGTTAAACGCAACTCCACTAAAAAAAGCATAAATCAATTAAAAATGTCACATCAACCCACAATACTAACTTTTTTTTATATATTATTTTTCTTTCTACCTACACAAAACCCAAAACCCTCTCGTACCATTTCCCTTCCTCTTACCCTTTTCCCGTCGACTTTCCCTTTTTTTTTTTATTATATTCTTGTAGGTTCAGCTTTCTGGGGAACGGCGAGAGCCGTGAAGAACTTCAACGAAAGACGTGATCCGGCGACGGGCGAATATCCCTCTCCGGCAACATTTCATCTTTCTTTGGTAATATTTGGTTGCTTTCCAGCGAAAATTGAGGTGATCAATAAATTATATATAAATCATCTATAGAGTGAAAAAAATAAATTCCTTCTGAATGAGGGCTGCAGTGAATTCCTTTTGAATTTTCCATTCCTTCATCTGCAGGCTTTGTCCTCTTTACTGGGAGGCAAATCAAACTTATTCAGGTTGTTCTCCTCTATTTCTCTATCGATTGCTTTGTTCCCCTTCATCTTGTTTCCATTTTTCTTTTCTTTTTTCTTGTCTTCTGTGCCCTTCTTTTTTCTGTTGTCCTTTCAAGGCTCGTTTCTCTTCTTCATCAACATTCGTTAGTGTTTATCATGGAGGTAGTTCATTTGTCTGCAAAAGAAGCTAACATCATCCCTATCAAGTCGGAGGATATTCAAATAAGTACATATGAATGCGAACGTAGCTTGTTTAGAAAATTAATCTGTAAAAAAAAGTGCACCTCATAGGTCTCAAAAAGGTTATCGCACAGATTTGGCAAATTAGGACTTCTGTGAATAATATCAGAGAGTTAAGCGTACAACGTACTAGAATTTGGTGCATTAATAACAAATTTTTGCAACAATAAACGGATTAGTATTGGTGTGATAATTACGGTATTAGTAACATAACTTTTGCAACGGATTTAAAAAGGCGTCATAGTTATGAGTTTTTGCAACAGAATAATTTTGTTTTATCATGAAACCACATTTCCTTTATTTAGATGGCTAGATTTAATTCATATAGAAAATAATAATTAATTATTGAAATTAAATGTACATAATAAGATTTTACTGAAATTTGACTTTCAATTAAAACATTCATTTTGATGATTAATGTCGAAAATGGTTGCCTTATATACTACTTTTGAGTAACATTAAAGGGACTGAAAATTAAACCAAGTGAAGTGGTCTTACCTCGGTTAAAAAATTAACGATTTGAATTTTCGATATTGGGTGTCCTCGATTTCTCTGGTTCGTCCTCGCAATTGATTTTCATCTATAAAAAAATACTCTGTAGAAGCTCGATCAGTTCTATCATCACTCGAAATCTCCAATGAAATACGGGAAACACATAAAACGACATCATGATGTAGTTTATCCTTCTGCACAAGAGGCTCCTAACCAGAAAAATTAGAGGTACTAGAAAATCTTAGTCAGAACTCAATTTTCTTTAACTAATGCAAGACCATAATTGTCATTTAAAAATTGTTATAAGTTCCATTTCAACCTTATGCTAAAAGATAGCTCAAGACTACAATTGTCATTTAAAAATGTTATAATATCCATTTCAACCTTATGCTAAAAGATAGCGTTTTTGGGATAACATAAAAAGAATAATTTTATGTGAAAATAAATGCCTTATATAAATAATATATAAATAATGATTGTTAAATGAAGGTTTAAGAGCTTTAATAAGCAAAAATATATGGAATAGCGAGAGTTTTAACCATGATAGTTTGTATTTATTATTCAATGTATTTTTCTTCAAAACATAAAAAAAACATATTACACTCATATACCGATCACGAGATAATAACTATTCTTAATTATTTATATCTATTCATAATTCATATATAAACCACTCTTACTATTGCCCATGTTTTCTTCCCATTTCCAATAGATGGTTAGAAAAAAGTAAGAATTGCTATCCATTATTCAACAATTGTTTTTTTTTTTTCTCTTGATATGTAGAATTGTTTTAAACTCATTTCATATTATTTCATTTGCAAGAAGCAGAATTCAAAAGATGCATGGAAGAAAATGTTGTCGTGCCACACAAACTATTGGATGGAAGGAGTCACTAGATTTGAACTTTTAGCCGTCGTACGAAGGGAAGAGTTCTTTTGACCTTGAAATGTTGGCTGATAGAGATGCACGCATTCAATCAGGCGTATTGGACTTGAACTTACTACCAACATAAGGTTTATAGGTACCGATATGATTATATTCTTAGGTCTTTATAATTACATGTATAATATAGTATATGTACAATTAATATATTCATAATTGTAATCTATCTTTTTTTTTTTCTATTTATTCACAGGGAGAATAGTTGTATAGAAAGATTGAGAAGTACGATAGATTGTGGCTTGATCTGAACTGTCCACCAATTTACGAAGGATTCATATCTAATGCCAAGAATATGAAAAATCTTGTATGTGGATATTGGATAGTCAAATGTTAAAAATATAGACTGTTCGAAAAAAAAGGATACACGTATGACACTGATGTTTGGTTGTTTATTATGTGATGGAAATGTTTCATTGTTGTTTTTTATGTGATGGAAAGTTGATATACATATGTAATTAAGTTCAATAATAAATATCACTATTTATTTTGCTATTGTGTTATCTCCTTTTATTTTGTAAATAGTTATATATGTAAAATGTAATGTATTCAAAGTTGCAACCATTAAAATATAAATTCAACATACTGAATTTTGAATTTGTTGATGATAATAAAAATAATAATAAAATAATATTTTATTACAATTTTGGTATAAAATTTATAACATGAGTAACGGAAATTTTTTTATAAAATGATCCATTACAAAAATCTAACTAATGAAATAAATTAGTAATGGACATTTTCATTTCTGACTCGGTTGATGGTAGTAAATATTAGAAACAAATATATCAGTTACATATTTGGTTGCTATTACTCTAATATTAGAAACAAATTTGTTTGTTACAAAAATCATTGCAAACAGTAATGAACTGTTTTTCGTTACCGAGCATTAGCCACCTTGTTTTCTCTAACCAATTTTGAAATATAATTTATTTGTTTATGTTATATATTAGTAACAGAAAATGACCCTTAAGCAACTATAATTTCAGTTACTGAATCTATAATATTATTTTTTTTCCATTAATTCACCTTATCTTATTAATGATAAAATATTTCCTTGCACTTTCTTTTTGGGTTAATTAAGACAAAAACCGTTACATTTTATAGTAATGGAGTAATAATTATATTTTTTTTTTATTGTATCTTATAATAGGGATTACTAAAACTAATAATTATATTTTACACTAAATGATATATGAAAGTTAAATAAACATAAAAAGTTATATTGTAAAAACTATTTGTTCAAGTTATTTATTCTAAAATCATACTCCCTCTTATTCATAATAAGTGTCGTTTTGGGAAGTTGCACACTAATTAAGAATAATTTTTTTGCCAATAATAACCTCATTAATGAAGATAGAGATGAATGTCTTAAAAAAAAGAGATGAAGAGAATATGAAAAGACGTAGTGTATTTATTAACTAAATGAGGGTAATAATGAAAAAATATATACAAAAGATCCAAAACAACATTTATTTTGGTTAATAGTTGATAAAGCCAAAATGACATTTAAACAGATTAGGAGGTAGTATTATATTTTTTTATGTGATTAAACGATTGTTATAAATAAATTAATTTTTTTTAATGGCATAGTAAAATTCTTTAAAATCGCATAAGAAATTGTTATAATAACTTTAATATTTTTCAGCTAATTAATTGGTCATGATCACTCAAAATTACAAAAATTATATTATCTATTACATTTTATGCAATAAGTATAGTGATTCATATGCAATCAAATAGATATGTACTATTTATTTTAACCAATGATTAAATTTTTAAATATAATATCATTATCTAACTTATATTTTTAATGTTATATGCATAAATAGAACTTATAATACTCTATGTTTAAAATATAATACCATTATTTAACTGATAAATTTAATATTATATGCATAGAAATAACTTATAATATTCTATTTACATATGTGCAAATGCACATGGTCGAATACTAGTATACTATAAAATCAAACATCCATACTGATGATATTATATGTGAAGAATAAAACATCTTTAATTGAATTCAGTAAGTGTCAAAATCATTAAATTGAGCAATTACATCCAAAACCAGTCAGTACAACAAGACTCTATTCGTTAATCCCACTTTTCATTATGAGGAAATAACTATTTTCACCACGCTCTAAAGCTGGGTTAAGTTTTTCACAACCCAATTAAAAAGTTGGTGTTTTCATCCCCACTAAGTGTGAAACAAATTATGCGACAGACATGCAAAAATAAAGTGCGAGATAATTATGAGACAAACTATGCGGCAAACATCGAAGTTAACTGATATAATGTGATCTCATTATGCGATAAAATATGCAACAGACGTGAGAAATTAATTGAGCAACGACTAAATAATTATACGATAAACTATGCGACAGAAAGATGTGGATAATTGAGCAAGTGCAATCTCATTATATGATAAACTATGCGACATATTGGCGAAGTTAGTTGAGGAAGTGTGTAAAAATTATGTGATAGATAATCCGACAGACAGACAGACGAAGATAATTGAGAAACTAAAATAATTATGCTATAGCCAAACGAGGTTAATTGGACAAGTGCGAAATGAATATGCGATAAATATGAAACGAAAATTTGAAGATAATTGAGCAAGTGCGAAATAAATATGCGACACACTATGCAACAGAAAAACAAAGTTAATTGAGCAGGTGCGAAATAAGTATACGACATAAAGGGGAAGATAGTGAGCAAGTGAGAAATAAATATGCGAAAAAAAAATGAGAAGATAATTGAGCAAGTGCAAAACAATTATCCGATAAACTATGAGACAGACATACGAAGTTAATATAGCAAGTGCAAAACAATTATTTGATACATTATGTGACAGATATACAAAGTTAATTGAGAAAGTGCTAAATAAATATGTGATACAAAGGCGAAGATAATTGAGCAAGTGCAAAATAAATATGAGATAAAGTATGCGATAGAAAGACGAATATAATTGAGGAAGTGCGAAATAATCATACGATAAACTATGCGACAGACAAGTAAAGTTAATTAAGAAAGTGCAAAATAATTATAGGATAAACTATGTCTTCCGTGGCTTGCCAAAGTGATTTTAGGTTCGCACCCGAGAAAGGGGATTTCCACGGTGCCATCATATGCCTATCACATGTCTGCCTTAGCTTGCCTTCCCTTGCTTTTGGGCTACGTCGACTGATAAGACTGTGGTGAAGTTAGTTGGTGAAATATCCCTACCCCAAAAATAAAAGAATAAGACTTCTATTCTTGAGGTAATTGTATCGGCCTTAGTCTGTGTTTTCGGTTAATGAGTCACTTCTAAAAGTGTGAAATAATTATACGATAAACTATGTGACACAAAAGCAAAGATAATTGAGCAAGTGTGATCTCATTATACGATAAAATATGCGACACATGCGAAGTTAATTGAGAAAGTGCGTGAAAATTATGTGATAGACTATAAGACAGACAGATAGACAAAGATAATGGAGCAAGTACAAAATAAATATGCGATACACTATGCGACAGACATACGAAGTTAATTGAGCAAGTGTGAAATAAATATGAGATAAAAAGGGGGAGATAATTGAGCAAGTGCTAAATAAATATGCGATAAACTATGT